CCCTGCCCTACCCTACCCCATTTGCATCCCTAAGTCTCCATGTTGCCCAGACCCTCCTTGTGGGATCACACTGGGTATATTGTTGTTGGTGGTGGTGTTGAAATTTCCTGCTAAATAGTGACCTAATGGTACCTAACAAGAGATCTGAGTGTAGTTGGAGGAATACGGTGGTGGTCGAATTTCATAGAAACTGCATTCTTATATTCTGTCCGCTATTTTAGAGAAAACTGATAATTTTCATTTCACTGAAGTATTCAAAAGAAAAAAAAATCTTAATGTTACCTTATCCTTACCTACCTATACAAAAGATTTGTAAAAAACATATCCACCAATGGCTATCTGTACTTCCACGCTCATTTTTCTTTAAAATGGCAATGTGCAGTCGGAAGGTGGAGGGGCGAAGGTCCCATGCTCTAATTCATGCCTTTTTTTCTCTTTTCTCCTTCCGTTCCCTTGTCTTGTTTCCACTTATTACCCTTTCCCCTCTGGTTGTCCAAATGGTGCAGAAATGACATTTACTTTCTGCCTAAATGTGTAAAAATGTCTTCATAGTGTGTAGGGAATGTAAGAAGTCAGGGATATCAAAATTAGAAATAGGGAAGAATCTATTTAGATGTGTCAAAAAATTGTGGATGTGGTAGTGAAATCATGTTTTCAGTCTTTTCTTTTTGGTTGGCCCTTGTGTTCCCACTGGTTTTACTCTATTTTGAAGCTTATGTCAGGATCATGGTAACCTTATTGAACGATGTCTTCTGTCCTGCAGTTAATGGCCCTCCTATTATTGAGGCATGCTTTTGAAAATGTTGAAGGTGATGCTGATGATGATGACGTTACCACCTTTTTCTCTGTAAGTGGATCATAAAATTAAACTACACCTCTTCTGTGTGGTGACTCTGTGACGCATCCATAGTAGTAAAAAGTGTGCGGGATTAATGATATTGTTGACCCTTTGGCACAGCTTTTTTTGCTCCGGGCTGCTGGTTTTCTTCTACCTTGCTTCATCATGGCTTGGGGTATCAGTATATTGCAGCGTCGTAGGCAAAGACAGGTTAGAGTCTTTTCGGATTTTCGTAAATCCTCAGAAGGCTATTAACATGCACATCTTCCTTCGTGCACAGTTTAGTGATATACATTTATGCATAATGTAAAAGACTTGTGCAAAATGATGAAGTGTGTGTTTACGTTTTATGTACAATAAATGCTCGGATAATTTCTATGGTCTCTGCTCATGTATTTGTAAGTTAAAAACATTGCTATAGTGGGAGCCGAAGTCTGCCCGCAGTTCCCACTTACAAATGCGCCATGCTTAAGCCAGCTGTAGTGATTTCCATTTTTTGCTGTCTGAAGAATTCGATACGAAGAGGAAAACAGTATCTGTTTGTTCTTTATTTTTAGTTTTACATTTCCCTATTTCAGAGGAACTCTATGTAATTTGGCCTTACATCTTTGTCCCTAGCAAATGTCAGATTTGAAGCTATTCTTATTGATAGTGATGTAAATCACAATAGAAGAATGGTCATCTACTCTTAATTCTTCAAAGTTTGTACTCTATACCTAATTCCTCACCTATAAACCACCTAATGCAATACCTCATTGGGTCTATTTCTGATATATAAAATGAAATACAGTGAATCATCGGATGAGACATTGAAGTCTGAGCTACGTACTGATGACCCCCCAAAAAAAAACAATAATTCATCGGATGATTTTCACCAATGAGTAGGTTCGAGAGTGCTGTTAAGATGGCATCCCTCTTTTCTGCTTGGCTCTACTCTCTCATTCTCCTTTGCTCCTACCCTCCCTCCAAGCCTGCTTAATCATCTTCCTATCCCTTACAAGCTTCTCCATTGATGACCGTTATTCCTGCTCAAATTGTTCTCTTTCATGAGTACGAGCACACTTCTACCACCATTGGATCTCTATCCTCAGCTGCTGCTGGAAAAAAAAAATTTAAGCATATTTTGAATATTATCAACAGTTCTAGTAGTGTTAATAATACTTCCTAGGCTGGGCAGTCTCAGAGGTTTCTCTGCGTTGTTTGTTCTTGGCCACTTTACTTTTTCAATTTTCTCTTTGGAAGCAACATTGCTTCTTGCTAATTTCGCTTCACCACTCTCATAAGCATAACCTTCTTCATCTTCTGTGACTTCCTCGAAAGATTGATCCCTACTTGCTCTCCACACCTCTTCCTTACCTGTTAGGATGGGAACCAGCCTTGGGGTCTAGCTGTAGCTAATGTACGTTATTTGTACTTGCTGAAAAAAGTGCATGCAGTGCATAAAAAAATCAAAATTATCTGCCATTATCTGGATCAGATGTTTCCTTACCCTTGTAATAATTGACCAAATTTGTCAGCACCTCTCCTATATCCGATCTCCTCCATCTTAGCAGCTAGCATCTCCCAAAGATTCTCTCAATTCTTATGCTTAGCTGAATTGAACTCCCTCTAAGCTCACTCCGATAGCTATGAAACGGCTAGTCTTCCGATTACTCCACGAGGGACATGCTCATCCCGCTTGGGAAACTCATCATTTCCCCCTAAACCACCGCCGCTGGAACCGTGGCTGCTATGGGGGCGATTGACGAGCTTGGAAGGAGGTGGAGGGGAGCTGAGGAAGCATCAACCATTGGGTCCTAGATTTTTGCTTTGAGCTTTTGTCAAATACACTGGGTTCATCGTTGTTGTAGTAGCTTTTGTCAAACCCCTACAAAATAAGACTGCAGTTCTGACGATGTCATGTTGTCCTTAATTTTCATGATTTTGTGTCTTCATGTCCACGCCTGTGCCAAAGTACCCCCTTTGCTGTGTGTTTGCTAGTCTCCATCGCCTTCTGCTAAAATTAAATGACAATTAAATGACAATTGAGTGAAGCGCAGAGGATCTACTTAAGAGTTTTTGGAGTAAGAAATTAATCTACCAAAACTCTTAATCAATGGAGGAATATACCACCATTTTTGTGCAATAAGATACCAAAGTGCATAGAATTCAGACTTGAAGAGGGTAACAATTAGCTGGAGCAGTGGGTGCCTTAAGGGTTACGAAGTTTCTCTTCCTATGAGTACTCTGTTATTTCTAATGTATCATATTTTTTCATGTAAAGCAGGAGGCAGCAGCATTAGCAGCAGCTGAAGTTGCTTTTTTACTGCAGGCAGGGCAACAAAGAGGCTTGCATGTCACAATAGCACCAAGACCTGCTCCTGCATCCGAGCCTTCAGCAGCACCCCATCAGGCAACAACTCATGTGTCAATGCCAACCAGGCAGGCAGAAGCTCCTCGTCCTGAGATAGTATAAAAGGCTTAGCTTTGCGCTAAATTGTCTGAGACGCCATCTCTATACAAAAGTATTACATTCGCTTTGTTACCTTGCTAAAAGATAGTTACTGATGATCGAGTGTTTTTACTGTTTGTTGGATTAGATGGGGTTGAGGAAAAATATTTCCTTTTCAAATTTGCCAGCTTGCAATTTCAAATTTGGAGAGAAGGCCGAAGCTCAAACTTCTTCCTTTCCTTCACTGTGACATTATTTTTGTACAC